TATATATATATATAGAGAGAGAGAGAGAGAGAGAGAACAATGATTATTCTTTATCACATTATAATGTAATTAATATAATGAAAGCATCAAACGATTAAATGAATAAAGGAGTTAAAGTCATCATCATTAAGCACATTTTAATATGTCTTTCAAAGTATTCCCGATTTACTCTGCACTATCGGTAATTGTGACATTGATTAAAGGCTCGATTTATGTTTCGATGTTGCATCGTTTGCGAATTATGACCGATAATTAATTTACATGGTTAAAATTTCAAGTTGCATTGTTAAAATTTCTAATTGATAGCAGGCGAATCAGCAATTTGTAATTAAATTCCATTGTTAAATATAATTATGCTTTGTATATTTAATACAAAATCATTTTATATATTTAAACTTTAAATGTTCTTGGAAAGTATCCTAATTTGAGTTTTAGTTTAAATTATTCCATCAGTTTAAGCTATTTCGAACCTTATTTTCTTCTTTAACAATATAATTTTACTATTTTAGCATATTTTAATTTTATAAATGTATCAACAAATATATAATTTATTTTGCGATAGTAATGTATGTAATGTAATTGAATTAAAATTAATTATTTATAAAAATCTTTACGAGAGTTGCTAAATGGTTTAAATTATAATGCTATAAGTAAAAAATACCAAATGTATTTTTTAAAAGTATAATATATATGTAGGAGAGACACTGATACCTAGGAACATGTTGTATCTTGGGACATATTAATTATTTTTTAACAATAACGAGATTTTTAATATTAACAGCTCAGTTATATTACTTCAGTTGTAATTTATTTTTAATCTAAATAATTACATGTTCTGTACAGTCTGTACAGTTTAGTTTTTACCGACAAAAATTGTTTCTTCTTTGTAAGTATTTTTCATGTATATTTTTCTCTAATTCTTTTACAAATTTTTATGAGAAATTTAAATTTACTATAAGATTCTCTAAAGATATTATTTTTAAAGATATTATTTGAAAAGTTGCATTTATTATTTCTGTTTAATTTCAGTAGTCTTATATTTTAAGCAAAATTGTTATACTTAGAGACATACATAAGAACTGTACATAAGAACTCATTTAATATCTTTAGAATGATACTAGGTATATTATTCTTTATTTTTTTACCTTCTTTACGTTTAACTTACTTTGTTATATTTTATGAGGTATTGATTTTATATTACAATATTAAACGATTAAACTTCTTCATTTATTTATTACAAACATGGTATAAAATTATTTTTATTGCTAATAGTTTAATTGTTGTCGATTCAAATAGAATTAAAACTGTTCTTTCCTATAAATTTATGTTTTATATATCTTTAGCTATAACACATTGTCCATTATAGGTACAATTATTTTTTTATCTATAAAGGATGACTTATCAAAAGAAATTGTTAACAGAGATTAAAATATTATTCCAAAATGCTATAAATGCTATATTTATAATTATAATTATATATATAATTATAATTATAAG